ATGACCAATTCAGTTTTCCTCAGATGTAATCATTCAAAGACTTGCATAGTTCTACAGCTGTGGTGTTGGTTGGCAACAAAAGTGGATATAACGTATCCTCATGAACATCTTCCCAAAAAGTATATCCCACAAAAGCAAGCATTGTTGCCTTGTTTTCTACGTCAGTAGACTCATCGTCAACCTGGATTGTGTACCATAGTGACTCATTAATCCTCTCTAACAATTGTGCCTCAATATCTTTTGCTGTTTCATCAATTTGGTGCTAGCCAAAAGAGGAATATGTGCCACCTTTTGAACTGCAGCCCCCTAAAAGTTCATGGCAAATGTCCTTAGTAGTAGGCAGGATCAACTCTTCACCAATAGTAAAGGGGTTCTTAGCTTTAGCAATGGGGTTAGCCGCTAAGAATGATGCTCTCAGTTCAGACACATTGGACAAAGTGGTGGCCTTCAATAATTGCTTCTGTTATTCATTGCACATTTTTTTTTCTTTTGAAAAACTCTAAAGTCTTGTCTTTTAATGTGAATACAAGGTGTTTGATCTCCAGTTTTGAAGGTTTCATGCTTCATTGGATAGCCAGTTACCATGTATTATACAAAGCAGGCTTGGAGAATGTGAATCACCTGTTGCAATGAACCAATAATTTAAGTAGGATTCTTGATATTTTCTTTTAAATGCAGCTTTCATTTTGTTGGCAGTCTTAGAGTCTTCTGCTGTCTCATCATTGAATCTTTCCCCCTTTCAAAGAAGCTCTCCAGCAACATTCGTTTTTTACTCATTTTTGCTAGGGTTAGCTTGTGGGCTCCTCAAAACTGTGACTGTGACAAGTGTACAGTGACAAGTGTACAGTGTGAGAAAGAGGTGCAGATAGAAGTGGTAAATAAAATAATGGGCAGGCCATGCACAGACTAAAATAAGTGTCCAATTCTGACTTAAAGCCTGCCACCAGATGTAGCTTTACAATTGAAGATGTTCACTTGCCACTGTAAAACCTGCCACCACATGTAGCTTAAATGTCACTTGCCACTCACTGATAGGGTTTTGATATGAGTCTGCAAGCAATTAATTTATTATGGTCTCTGTGCAGTCAAACCTCTCTGCTAATGATAATCTGTATTTGTAGCCACTCCCCAGCACTAGCATCACAGCCTCAGCTCCACCTCAGATCATCCAGGCATTAGATTCTCGTAAGGAACACACAACCTAGATCCCTTGTGTGTGCAGTTAACAATAAGGTTCATGGTCCTATGAGAGTCTAATGCTGCCACTGATCTGACAGGAGGCAGAGCTCAGGCCATGATGCAAGGCTTAGAGAATGTGAATCACCTGTTGCAATGAACCCACAATTTAAGTAGAACTCTTGGGAAGTGGCTGTAAATACAGATGAAGGTTCACTGGCTTGCCCACTGCTTACCTCCTTCTGTGCAGCCTCGTTCCTGACAGGCCACTGACCAGTACTGGTCTGCAGCTTGGGGATTGGGGACCACAGATGTATTCTATAATGTAGAGAGATTAAGCATGGATAAAGAATAGCATATATAGAATGATCCCAACTTACTCTACCTAATGAAATTATACATGATTTTTAATTTTTTTTTACTTTTTGATAGAATTTTCTTATTGAGAAGATATAATATTAACATAAATAAGGTAAACAAAGCTTAGTATAACTTTTACACATCGGAACAAGCAAAGTGTTTTAAATGTATCAGCATTTGCTCTAAGCTAAAGTTGTAACTAAGAAAGGAATGCTCTGACAGTGTCTTGTTGCAACCATCACATTCAGCTACCAATTTCAATTTTCATTTAATAAATAAATAAATTTATAGGAAAACAAATACGACTATCAATAACTGAAGTTTAGGAGAATAGTTTTAAAAATATGAAATTGTAATTACAAATCCCAATGTGTCTATCTATACAAGTCAGAATGTTAAGAAACACACACTATGTTTTCTGCATTATTGCATGGCAAGGATAGAAAATCATTTTTTAAAAAATAAGTAAAGTGGAGCTCAAGAAAATAACAAAATAGAAGTATCAATTTCTGGAAAAAACAGAACAGCAAACACATCATAAGGACATGCATTAAGTGAGAATATGATCCAATTTGAGAGAAACAAAAACCAAGAAAACAGTGAGTCAAAAAGCCAGACGTAAACATGAATCAAACTCTGCCAGAAGCATTTTTGACTTCTAATCAAACAGCATATTTTGTATACAAACACAGTTTGGAAGGGGCTGCAGGTTACATATTGAATTTTTTTTCCAATCGTGCTAACTAAAATCTGCTGTAACATTAGCAACAGTACTTCTTTAAGCATAAAGTCCAATAGATGCATTAAACATTCGCTGAGAGCAAAGCCCTATAGAATGCATTAGAGTATAATTTATAAAATAAACAGAATAGAATAAATTTGTTTCTTTCTGTTTTTATCTTTCTATTTATATCTCTATATTATACGTGTTCGAAAGTATCATATTCATCAAATTTTATCAAATGCTGTTAAAAATAGGCTTTCTATAGCAATGCATAAACCTTAGAGATTATATATAAATACCTAAAACCATACATATGGAAGATCTTAAGGTCAGAACTGAGACAAATCTGAGTTGCAAAGATGGTTCTGCCTCTTGTCACTTTCAACAGTGTTTCTTGAGCAAGTAATTTGAGCCTCATTTTTCCAGTTGTAAAATGATAATGATAAAAATAGTAATTATTTCACATTGTTTGGATAGAGAAGAATTAAAATACTATAATGAATACAAAATACTTAACACAGTGTCAGGTGCAGAGAAATCACTTAATAAATGCTAAGGGTTAGAATTACTGAGCTTCAATTACATCGTAATCCTCATAAAATCTTTGTAAATTAAGTGCTACTATTCCCAATTAACAGATTAGAAAAGAAAGAATGAGAACAATAAATTAATTTTCTCAATCTCACAAAGTCTTATAACTTCCCAGAGATTTCAATTTTTTAAAGCAATGGCAGAGGTAAAACAAAAATGTGTTTTCTCAGTTTCAAGGGGATCTAGAGAGACTATATACTTGTAAAAACAATACTATCAGTAAATTGATACTTAGAAACTACCAGAAAATTTTAAGAGACGTTTATTTCTTTTCATATTTAGACCAATTATATAGCATGCATTACTGGTGTAAAGAAAATGCACAAAAGTCTTTGTACTTCACCTTTTATACACACATTCTTTTAGCTGTATTGAAATTTTAGGAAGTACCTTCCTGTTTCTCTTATGGCCTGCAATCTGTTTGGATATGTACAGGTGTGACAGATGTCTACATCAACATATACACCCACTAGTTCAGGCAGGAATACAGGCACATAGGGTACTATTTGTTTTCTATGTTGACTTAGCCCTGTGTCACTAACAAAAGTGCATCCGACATTTAATGATTTTGGCAATGATGATTAACAAAAGAGCATCAAAGTTTTAGTGATTCTGGCAATGATAGCACTGTCAGAAGTGTGTACCATACTATATATTGATGAAATGAATGATTACTGAAGGAGTTCAATGGTATAAAAGGGGAAAGAAATCAGATTTGCTCAGTAAATGAATGCACAGAAGAGAGAGAGAAATGGAACCTCACCTGTAATTAATCTAGTGACCTTTACATAACTAAGAATTTGCAAAACAACTGAGGCATTTTTAGCAGTATTCTGACTGGAAATAATTCAAATGTGTTCCAGTAGAACCTTACATCTATGCATCAGGTTCATACACAATTTCTTGTAAGATCTGCAGAAGAGTACAGTGAGATGGATAGCATCCCCCTTATTGTTACCATCACCAATTTAAGCACAGCTGCCTGTCATGGATTGTTCAAACAACTGGTAAGCAAGAAACCTGACACTGTAATATGAATCTTACCTGCAAGTCCACCGTTTTCCCCATTATGTTATGACTTTCACAACAAAAATTGGGATGACAAAACACATAAAATTTTTACTTAAAGTGGAAAAATATCAATTCAAAAAATATGGAAGACTGATGGAAGTATAAAAAGTTAATATTGAAATTCTACTTCCCATAGATTAGGAAGGCAAGAAGACAGTATTAACTATTAGAAAGAATAAAAGAATCACAGAATCATAACTCAAACATAGTCAAATATGTGAAGAGTCTTTAATTCCTACATGTTATCTGATTAGAATATTTTAAATTGGAAATGAAAAAAAGCTTACTGCCATTAAAGAAAAATATACAAGCACTCGTATAACTCTAGGACTAAATGAAATAAGTAATAGCTAGAATTTTGAATTTTTTAGTTAAATTAGAGTTAATCGACAATTTTTAAATGAGTTTTTGGTAAGACAGTAAAAATACTTCACATTTTTAGATAACCTATTGACCAAGAGAAAATTGTGAAGACTCACTTTAGTAACAGTGTGCCAACTAATTTTTACATCTGTTTCATCAACTTGCTTAAAAATAAATAATTTTATTTATAGGGATAGAATATAAATGCCCCAGTTTGTGAAATAAAAGGATGTAGTGTTCACATATTTAGATGTTACAAACTATACACATTATCTGAAATTAATGTATTCCAATATCATATTGATTTTGATTTTAAAGTGTTTTTTTGCTCATTGCTATACATTAAAATTTTATACATGCCACTGAAAGACACATTATATGGTATGGTTATACTTTTCCAAAAGTTATAATGAATGAAATCATGAGATAATTATTTTTAAAAACAAAATAACTTTAACCACTATAAAGGTATAGTGACCACTATAAAAAGGTCACAATTCAATTTACATTCACCTTTTTGAGAGATAGTATTAATATACTAGTATTATGAAGTCAGAAGTACTGAACTAATTTGTTCATGGGATATATTTCCAAATAAGTACTAATTAGAATGAATAAAACTTTATTATAATTGCCTCAAAATGTCCAGTTGTCAAATAAACCACTTTTACCCATAAAATATTTCCCTCCAGTCTTCCATTCAAAATACACTGACCTTGTCCTAAAGTTTGTAGGATGAGGATGTCCATCATATAAGGATAAGTAGTCGTATTCTTCTTCTAGAGCAAATGACTGAAAAACAATTTGTATTCTATTTCGTTCTTCTGCTATTATTACCCATGTACAATTTGCACCATTTGGATATCCATATGGAAAACCAGGGCTTTCTATAGTGCCATTAAGTCCTTTTAAAGTTCCACCACATGTATAAATAAATCCTGCAACAAAAGACAAATAAACAGACATTAATATTATATAAAACAAGAACAGTCCAGGAGACATTATTTTTAAAGTCTACTGTTTTTTTCCAAAAGCAATGTGAACAATAATTTTGTAAATGACAATTGAAGAGCTGGGTTATACAAATATATGTGAGTATATATGTATGTGTGTGTGTGTGTGTGTGTGTGTGTGTGTATGTAAAATATAAATAAAAAATACTAAAAGAGTTATCATTTATCATAAATATTGAGATTAATAATTATAAACCATTTGATGAAATAAAATCATCCACATACATTCAATTCATTATCCATTACCTGTTCCAACAGACAAATGCAATCCTAGAACATGATATCTTTCCTCAAGTAGTTTCCAATCTCATTGTGGAAACTCATAAACAACATTGAAATTTTAATTAGCTTATTACCCATTTCAGGTCTCAAGAAATTTATTTTTTCTTGGAAACACATGCTAACTTTTTGGCATATCCCCATATCTACCATGTAACTCGTGTTTTAGGGAACTCTGTCTCACCCCGATTACAGGGGAGAGATTTTTTTTTTAGTAGTTCATGTAATTCCCCTCCCTTTGATTAAAATGCTTGATTCAGGATGGGCACAATCCTAAATCAACCACATCAGAGCGAATCCTAAGATTGAGGGGAAAATATATTGACTATATGGATCCTGGGCAACTGATACAGCAATCTTAAGAACTCCTGGAGATTTTTTTTTTTTCCCAAGATGGCTAAGTAAAAGCATCTCCAGCACACTTCACTCACTTAGAAGAACCAAAATATTATGTAGACAATCACACTTTGAATATATTATCCAAGAGGGAACACTGGAATTCAACAAAAAAGCAAAAGGAAACTACAAATTCTGGGAAGGAGAGGAAAACAGGAAGCATGCATGGCTGGAACCAGCTGAAGACTGGGAGTGAATACCCAATATGGCAGAGGGTGGTGAATGATTGTCTTTCTGTGGTCCACTTTCCTACTAGGGGACCATACAATTTAGGCCATAGAAGAGCACCTTGATCCTTCCAAGGTCCGAATCTAACTTAGGAAGTGGACAGGAGTCTGTGAGAAGGAACTGCTCTGGGTAGTGTCCCATCTACTCCCTCATATCTAGGAAGCTACCATAAGATGCCATTTGCAATCCTAACTCTTAAAGAGCTGTGCATGGTCCTGGGGACAAAGACTGGCACCAGTCTTTAGTGTTAGAGAGACTAGGACTGAGGGTTGGGGAACTGGGCTTGAGCAGGGGACAGACTCCCACAACAAGAACTGAGAAACTAATGTGCCATAGAATCCAGCCACTGGTGCTCTTTCATCATATATAAAAATCAATTCAAGATGGATTAGAGGGCCAAGTGAGGTGGCTCATGCCTATAATCCTAGCACTCTGGGATGCCAAGGCGTATGGATCGTTTGAGCTCAGGAGTTCGAGACCAGCCTGAGCAAGAGCGAGACCCCGTCTCTACTAAAAAAAATAGAAAGATATTAGCTGGACGACTAAAAATACATAGAAAAAAAATTAGCAAGGGATGGTGGTGCATGCCTGTAGTCCCAGCTACTCAGGAGGCTGAGGCAG